TGTTTCTCATAGATTTTGAAGTCAGAGTTTTAAAAGATTTAACAGGCTGGGCGCAGCGGCTCATGCCTGTAATCCCAGCACTTTGGGAGGCCGAGATGGGTGGATCACCTGAGGTCAGGAGTTCGAGACCAGCATGGCCAACATGGAGAAACCCCATGTCTACTAAAAAAAAAATACAAAAGTTAGTCAGGCATGGTGGCAGGCACCTGTTATCCCAACTATTCAGGAGGCTGGAGCAGGAGAATCTCTTGAACCCGGGAAGTGGAGGTTGCAGTGAGCCGAGATCATGCCATTGCACTCCAGCCTGGGCAACAAGAGCGAAACTCCATCTCAAAAAAAAAAAAAGGATTTAACATTAATTTATTTGGAATTTAGACAGCCAACTGCCAATGTCAAGCATTCCAATGATGAGAGCCTAATAGAGAATCTTGTTCATGTGGGGAGACCCCTGAGACCCTGAGTTGCATTAGCATGGCACTACTGTCATCTCCAGGCCCGTCAGAGAGCAGCCAGTCCAGTGCAGATATTTGAAGCTAGGCAAGGCAGCTTACACGGACTGGGGATTCTTCGTCCTTTTCAGTCTTCTCCAAGGGAAGTCCAGACAGACTTCACATTTTGTTAAGTGCAGCTAGGTTCTGTCCACAATAAAACAGAGCTAGGACAACTGTTTTGGAAACATAGTTAGCACGTAATTGTAGCTAATTTAGATTTTCTCTGAAGCAGCATGAAAAGAAATTTGTTTTTGTATAAAAGATGTTTTTATCTTCTATAGCCCACAGTTCCCAACAACAGTGTCCTCTCTCCTTCCCTCTGCTGCAAATATATGTACCTACATAACACCCACATGCATGTTTTTTCTTGCCTAAGCCACTATCTACTCCTGCTGTTCTCTTTTTGGGGATTTCTTCAAGCATATTTACAACAAAACACTTGCTGAGCCCAACTGCCACCTCACTGCTGTAAATATGCTGTATCCTAGTTACATGAGCCATCAGTTCCCCAAACGCTTTCTTTCACCTGTCTGTTGGGAAACCACCTAAGCCTATACGAGGAAGAAAAATCATTCAGAACAAATGTTGGCTTGAATATTTGTGTCATTTTCTTAACTGCCTGACACAGGCTTTCACCGAGATTTGGTGGGAATCAAAAGTACATCTTTAAAAAAATCCTGGCCCTTACCTTACATTATATACAAAAATAAACTCAAATAGATCAAAGACCTAAATGTAAGAGCTAAAACTATAAAACTTAGAAGAAAATACAGGGGCGAAGTTTCATGATATTGGATTTGGCAATGATTTTTTGGACAACCCCAAAAGCACAGCAACAAAAGAAAAAAATAGATAAAGTAAACTTCATCAAAATTAATAACTTTTGTGCACCAAAGGACAGTCAAGAGAGTGAAAAGGCAACCCACAGTGTAGGAGAAAATATGTGCAAATCACGTCTGATGAGGAACTGATATTCAGAACATATAAAGAACTACAACTGAATAACAAAAAGCAAACAAGCTAATTTAAAAATGGTCAAAAAAGTTGAATAGATATTTTTCCAAAGAAGATATACATTATATATCTGCAAAGATATACATTATACATCTGCATTATACATCTGCAAAGACCCTTGAAAAAATAAAGGAAGAAGACACACAGATGCCTCATAAGGACATAAAAAGATGCTCAACATCATTCATCATTAGGGAAATGCAAATCAAAGCCACCACGATATATCGCTTCACACTCACTGTGATGGCAATTATCAAAAAACAAAACCACAAGTGTTGCTGAGAATGTGGAGAAACTGGAACCCTTGTGTGTTGCTGGTGGGAATGTACAATGGTGCAGCTCCTGTGAGAAAAAGTATGGTGGTGCTTCAAAAATATAATCATAATAAACAGAAGTGCCACATGAACCAGCAGCTTCTCCTGATGCACAGAGCAAGAAATGAACCTAAGTCGTAATAATAAATACTCAGTGAATAAATGTAGGCCTCACATATCTTTTTCCCATAGAGAGACGTGAGAGACTGAGGTTGATAAGTAATAACAGATCTGGGACACTGTCTTCTACTTTAGAGACCTGATATTGGCTAGAGGTGGGGTAGGTAAAGGGGAGGGAATAGGCTTTTAGTAGGTTGGTGCAAAAGTGATTGCAGTTTTTATAGTTACATTTAATGGCAAAAACTGCAATTACTTTTGCACCAACCTAAGTATTTTTTGAGTCTCTATAAAAGTATTTCTGGTTTTAAATCTTAAATTGGTAATACACAGTTTTTACATATGCCCTGTGAAATGCACATTGTCATGATGCGTGGAGATAGTTGGGAAGGTGGATAAAATGTTTCTGAAACAGTTAGACAATATCAAGAGCTTTACAGTGTTCATTAAGTAGTCAATTCTCATTAGCCCAGTGATTCTATTTATAAACATGTATAATCAAATACCCAAGAAAAGATTTACATTCAAATATGTTTACTGCAGTGCTATTCATAACACAATGCAATGAACATAATAGTTTATATTTACATGTAATAAACACAAATATTCAATGGTATAAAAATGGTCAATAAATTGTGGCATAGCCACAGCTTAGAGTACCTGTTTAAATATTCTCAGCTATTTTAACTTTGCTAAATAATATTTAAAGATATGTGGTAGTCCCTCCTAATCTGAGGGGGACCTGCTCCAAGACCCCCAGTGGATCCCTGAAACCTCTGATAGTACTGAACCCTATATAAACTGTTTTTTCCTATACATATTTACATATATAATACACACCTACGATTAAGTTTAATTTATAAATTAGGCACAGTAAGAGATTAACAACAACAATAATAAAATATAACAATTATAGCAATACTCTAATAATAAAGTTATGTGAGTGTGGTCTCTCTCTCTCTCTCTCAAAATATCATACTGTATGCCTCTATTTTTGGAAAACAGTTGACCACAGGTAACTGAAACCAAGGAAAGTGAAACTGCAGATGGGGGCTGACTACTGTATGTGAAAATTAAACAGACAAAATCAGAGTAAATATACCATGTTAATTCTGGTTATATTTGGATTGTGGGATTATAGGTAGATTTTGTTACATTTTTCTATAATTTCCAGATTTCCTTCCATTAGTATACTTTTATAAGAAGAAAAAAATTACAATTAAAAATATTTAGCTCTCTGAGTCCCTGAATTCAATGGACTAAATCCAAAACCCAGCCTAGGGGACATGAAGACAAGGTACCTATTTTCTCTCACAGAGATTGCTGGGCACATCAGTGTAACCAGCAGCCCCTCCCTGACACACCGGTATCTACTGCCTCCACCTTCTGGAGCTGTGTGAGGGCTGGGATCCAAGGTCAGGGTGAGGCTAGTCTTTCTCTTACCTTCTCTTCCTAGCACACAGGGGATTATCGCCCATAGAATAATCTCACTCACTAGATCCACAGAAAGATCTTGGCTCAGCAGGGCATGATGGCTCATGCCTGTAATTCTAGCACATGGGAGGCCGAGGCGGGCGGATTGGCTGAGCTCAGGAGTTCAAGACCATCCTGGGCAACACAGTGAAACCCCGTCTGTACTAAAAATACAAAAAAAATTACCTGGGCATGAAAATTAGCCGGGTGTGGTGGCACGCACCTATAATCCCAGCTACTCAGGAGGCTGAGGCAGGAGAATTGCTTGAACCCGGGAGGCGAAGGTTGCAGTGAGCCGAGATCGTGACACTGCACTCTAGCCTGGGTGACAGAGTGAGACTCCGTCTCTTTAAAAAAAAAAGAAAAGAAAGAAAGAAAGAAAAAAAAAAGATCTTGGCTAACAGCAACCTCTGCCTACTGGGCTCAGTCCTACTTGGAGATGATTAAATGGTTGTCAAAGTGCTTTTACATATGTTGTCTTTCTTTGGACTGTCATGAATTGGGATGACAGTTATTTTTACCTTACATGACAGGTGAGGAAACAGAAACTTAGAGAAAGTATGAGGATTGATAAAAAAAAAACGCAAGATATTATCACACGAATCCTAGTCTAGTTTGTACCAAAGAACCCTTCCTCGTGTCACACAATCAAAATACAGTCTGACTGAAACATAGTTGACTGCTGGGTGCTGTGCCTCATGTCTGTAATCCCAGCACTTTGGGAGGCTGAGGCAGGTGACTCTCTTGAGGCCAGCAGTTTGAGAACCAGCCTGGCCAACATGGTAAAACTCGGTCTCTAATAAAAATATAAAAATTAGCCAGGTGTGGTGGTACGCACCTGTAATCCCAGCTACTCAGGAGGCTAAGTCACGAGAATTGATTGAACCTAGGAGGTGGAGGCTGCAGTGAGCTGAGATCACGCCAATGCACTCCAGCCTGGGTAACAGAGTGAGACTGTCTCAAAAAAAAGAAAGAAAGAAAGAAAGAAATACAGTTGACCTCTTTTTTGGGAGGTTAAGAGGCAGATTTATTTATTTTTTTTTATTTTTTTATTTTTTGAGACGGAGTCTAGCTCTGTCGCCCAGGCTGGAGTGCAGTGGCCGTATCTCAGCTCACTGCAAGCTCCGCCTCCCGGGTTTACGCCATTCTCCTGCCTCAGCCTCCCGAGTAGCTGGGACTACAGGCGCCTGCCACCTCGCCCGGCTAGTTTTTTGTATTTTTTAGTAGAGACGGGGTTTCACCGTGTTAACCAGGATGGTCTCGATCTTCTGACCTTGTGATCCGCCCGTCTCGGCCTCCCAAAGTGCTGGGATTACAGGCTTGAGCCACCGCGCCCGGCCAAGAGGCAGATTTATAAGCAACACATAGTGATATCTTGTCTCTTAAGTCACAAAGATGTAAAGCGCACGAAGACATAAAGGTTTATATTGTGGGTTGCAGATGACTTATCATGTTCTATATTCCACTAACGTTGCCACATGAACACAAACAGTTACACATTGTCCAAGCAGCAGGTATCTTGGTTGACAGGAATGAAAACTTATGTTCTTGCTGAAGTGGAAAGGAAAAGGACCAGAGGAAGTACACTCACCAAAACCACGAATGTGATTTGTCTGGTCCTTTATAAGATGCAGAACGAGAGTATACAGGTGAATTCAGGCAGCTTCCTTGGGATTTCTCTGTTCAATTTTTGGCGTGTCCTTTAAGGCAAATCCTAAGGGTTAAAAAATGTGCATTAGAAATTGGGGGGACAGATCCTCTTGTAGTTCCAAAGCATAATGGTTAGAAATTGTGGGGCTATTTTCTTCAAAAAATGAAATACCATTACTCTAATTATCATGTTCTCTACAAACCAAGAAGTGCAACTGCTTACCTGATTCTTAAAGAAACAAGGAACAGTAATAATAAGAAAATGACCAATTTCCTCCATTTGTGTTTTTCTCTCTGCCTTCTTCAGAGTGTGCATGACTTCAAGAGGCACATAATGTTTAAGAAGGAATACAGATGTAGCCTATACTTTACGCTTATAGACTCACAAAAAGAAGAGGTAGTATCCTTTAGAGAAATGATCATATCTAGCTCATGGACCTCCCAGCCAATTTGGGGGCTTATGCTTCACATCACTAATAGATCTTCAAACTATTCCTGCAGGGTCCAGAGAGGGTTCCCAAAACCACTGAAGCAAGTACTCCACTTACCCACTACCAATCAGAGTTGGTATGAAAGAGACTTACTATTCTGCCCTAAAATGTAGACTTCAGACTCTTTTTTTTTTTTTTTTTTTTTTGAGATGGAGTTTTGCTCTGTCGCCCAGGCTGGTGTGCAGTCACATAGTCTTGGCTCATTGCAAACTCCACCTCCTGAGTTCAAGTGATTCTCCTGCCTCAGCTGCCTGAGTAGCTGAGATTACAGGTGCCCACCACCACGCCTGGCTAATTTTTGCATTTTTTAGTAGAGCTGGGGCTTCATCATGTTGGCAAGGCTGGTCTCAAACTCCTGACCTCAAGTGATCCATCCGCCTCAGTCTCCCAAAGTGCTGGGATTACAGGCGTGAGTCGCTGTGCCCAGCAGAGTCAAGATTCTTTTGAGGATGTTCTTTGCATGGAGAGGCCCATGAAAAATATGATTTGGTGTTTTGGGATAATCTTTAATAAGTAATGATGCAGGAACTATTCAAATGAAAAGAATTTAAAGTTCAAGATAAAGATATTTCAGTTGAGGAATTAAAATATATCTTAAGCATAAAACTTTTATTTTTATTTCAATGTGTGGAAATATAATCTACCTGATTTTCCAAACTACAGAGAGCTCCCATCAAGCCACCTGAAGCTCCGAATAACTTATACAAGATTCAATATGGCACAGTGGTTTCAACACCAGACTGGGAACCAGAAGGCTAGTTTTAATGCTACCTCTGTCATGCCCGGTTCATTTCACCTGTCTAAGCCAAAGCTTACTCTCGTGGAAAAAAAAAAATCATAAAGGAGGCCAGGCATGGTGGCTCACGCCTGTAATCCCAGCACTTTGGGATGTCAAGGTGGGTGGATCACTTGAGGTCAAGAGTTCAAGACCAGCCTGGCCAACATGGTGAAATCCTGTCACTACTAAAAATTCAAAAAATTAGCTGGGCACAATGGTGTGTGCCTGTAAACCCAGCTACTCAAGAGGCTGAGACAGGAGAATCACTGGAACCCAGGATGCAGAGGCTGCAGTGAGCTGAGATTGTGCCACTGCACTCCAGCCTGGGCGATAGAGCAAGACTCTGTCTCAAAAAAGTTAAATAACTAAAAATAAAAATAAAAAAATAATAAAGGAGTTGGATTATCAATAGTTCTCAACATTAAAAAAAACATTGTGTTTGTTTTTTCTTTGTGTTTTAGTTGTAGCACACTTTATTCCACCAAAAATCTAACCAGATGCAGAAACAACACCAATAAAACAGAAGCTGGTTGAAGTATGGGTAGGGGATGTTGTCAGGAGATGCCCCCAGTTCCATCATTCATTGTTCCCTGTGGGGATCCCGTAAGACCTTTAGGGCTCCATAGAGCACAGTTGGAAACCTTCTGGATTAAATGGCCTTTAATATCACTTATAGCTCAAAATTATTCTGCCATAACTATCTTTATATTGGAATGACTGGGTGCTCAGTGAGATCCATAACCTTATGGGAACACAGCAATAATACTTCACCATGATCTAGTTTTAATCTTGTTAACAAAGACCTCCTGAAAGAAAAAAGCCACACCCTCAAATAAATCATAAAGCAATAGCTGTTAAACGATTTATGTTTCAATACACATAATCTTTACCCAACTGTGTGGAAAGATAATTCCTGAAATGCTGCATCCTGGATAATACCTAGTAATCAAGATCATAGCGGTTGATAAAAACTATGAAAACGAATGTACAAAGTACGAGAAAGTGTGTCTTGAAATTAACTGTACACCGTCTGGACAATAAAATAAAATTTAGACTCCTCCATCTCTCATCTACTAGCTAAGTAAATCCAGACAAGTATATTCAACTTTCCTGAGCCTCAGTTTCCACATCTATAAAGCAGAAATCATTCCTGGCAGGACCATTGTGGAGAACAGAGAAAATATTTATGAAGCACCATTCTTGGCATATATTATTTGTGCAGAATTTTGAGTTTTCACTCTTTCTATAATGGTAAAATGTCTCCTTTAAAATGTAATATCAAAGTAATGAACATGTAAATTCTATGAATTGAAAGCAGATTATTAATATATAAGTGAAACACAGGATTCACGTAGTTTTGTGCTATATCATAAAAAGGGAAAGGAGGATCACAGATGTGCCTTTCATGGCTATTCAAGTAACACAGGACATTTCCCCAAAATAAAACATTTAGGGTCAATGTTTGCTTCCAGCAAAATCTGACTTTCCAGAATAACCCCAAACACAATCCATTTCATAATTTTTTTTTTTTTTTGAGATGGCGTCTCACTCCGTCACCCAGGCTGGAGCGCAGTAGCGTGATCTAAGCTCACTGCAACCTCTGCCTCCTGGGTTCAAGCGATTCCCTTGCCTCAGCCTCCCGAGTAGCTGGGACTACAGGTGTACGTCACCATGCCTGGCTAATTTTGGGAGGCCAAGGCCAGCAGATCGAATGAAATGGATTGTGTTTGTAGTTATTCTGGAAAGTCAGACTTCTCTGAAAACAAACATTGACCCTCAGTGTTTTATTTTGGGGAAATGTCCTGTGTTACTTGAACAGCCACAAAAGGCACATCTGTGATCCTTCTTTCCCTTTTTATGATACAGCAAAAAACTACGTGAGACATTTTGTATTTTTAGTAGAGATGGGGTTTTGCCATGTTGGCCAGGTTGGTCTTGAACTCTTAACCTCAAGTGATCTGCTGGCCTCTGCCTCCCAAAGTGCTGGGGTTACAGGTGTGAACCACCATGTGTGGCCAGAATGTTTGTCATAAAAATCTTCAAGCAAAACCTATAAGTTATGTGTCTCCTGTGGCTTCACATTCCTCCTGACACAATATTGGATACTCCAGAGAAACCAGTTTGAGAAGGTTAGTTCTAGTCCAAACCTTTGATTTTACTATGAAGGAAACTGTCTTACCAAAGGTCACACAGTAGGTAGGAAACACAGTAATAAGATTTGCGGGGCAGTTCCTGGAGAAATGAGGTGGTCTCCAGACATTAACGGTGTTAATTCATTTTAGCTTCCCCCACCCCTGAGTCTGGTACTATGAAATTGCACAGACATCGCTTACCCCATCATGGAGTCTTTATAAAAACCAAATGGGGAAGTTTGTAGATTCCAGTAGGAGGAAGAGGAAGAGCTATACTGACGGAACAACTGGTTTGTTTTAATGTTTCTGGGCATGTGAATCTTATAGCTGCTCATGACTCGTCTTCAACACAGGGGAGGACTTGAGGGCAAATATTTATTGGATGCCCCTGGCATCATCTTAGTTTGCCTACCTTGATGTTTTTGCCCTCTCTTCTTTTTGTGTCTTGACGTGTCATATGTAGTTTTGAAAGCTGTTTCAAGTCCATTTTTGGAATGACACATAGCATACATAAAACACTTGAAATTAATACATTTATTTTTCGAAAAAGATGCTCCCGTCTAATATCAAGTCATGTCCTGTTCTACTTCTCTGAGTCATAAAGCTAGGCTAAAAATAACTTTCTTACTACAACCCTCCACCAAGGAATGAGAATTCCATTTCTTAAAAACAGATCCTTTATTTTTTTAAGAGGCGGAGTCTCGCTCTGTTGCCTAGGCTAGAGTGCAGTGGTGTGATCTCAGTTCACTGCAACCTCTGCCTCCTGGGTTCAAGTGATTCTCCTGCCTCAGCCTCCCAAGTAGCTGGGATTACAGGTGCGCATCACACCACATCCAGCTAATTTTTGTATTTTTAGTAGAGGCGGGGTTTCAGCATGTTGGCCAGGCCGGTTCTGAACTCCTGACCTCAAGTGATCCGCCTGCCTTGGCCTCCCAAAGTGCTGGGATTATAGGCATGAGCCACCACACCTGGCCAGACCTTTCTTAAGATAAACCAACTGCCCTCACCCAAGGATGCTAGTACATAGGGTCCTAATGCTGCCAGGAGACCACCAGGTTGAGGGTCAAATAACAGTTCTAGTTGTCGCTTTGCCACCTGCACAGTTTGACCATGGCATGCTACATAACTTTCTGAGCCTCAGGTTGTCACCTGTATATTGAAAGATCACCATTATAAGGATTACACAAGGCACGACATTTGAAAGCATCTCATAAACTAACCATTAGCTCCTGCCTGGACTTCTACAGTAGACTCCCAGCTGCTTCTCCCTGTCCACTCAGGCCTGCTACAATCAATCTAGGTCTCCTTGCAGGTAAAGGGACCATTTAAAAAATATACAATTTGGCCAGGCATGGTGGCTCACGCCTGTAATCCCAGCACTTTGGGAGGCCGAGGTGGGCAGATCACCTGAAGAGTTCGAGAACAGTCTGGTCAACATGGCAAAACCCTCTCTCTATTGAAAATACAAAATTAGCCGGCTGTGGCGGCACACGCCTGTAATCCTAGCTACTCAGGAGGCTGAGACAGAATTGCTTGAATCCGGGAGGCGGAGGCTGCAGTAAGCCGAGATCATGCCAGGCACTCTAGCCTGGGTGACAAAAGGAAGACTCCGTCTCAAAAAAAAAAAAAAAGAAAAGAAGGGTTTTATCACCCTTCTGCTTAA